AGTGCGAAGGAATACATGAGTACAATTATTGATCCCTTTCAACAAGAACAGTTTCTGCTTGGTATGATGTGCTGTCGGTGTCGGCCGCACTTTCTGTATATGCTCACGGAACATGCTTAAGAAAACTGTTGGGTCAACCGTATCATCCAAGTCCGCAAAAAATTCGTTTGGAAGTCGAATAGGTGTTCCATAAACCATTTCGGCCGCGGAAGACTTGATGTCCTCCTTGAAACAGGTGCGAAGTCCAAGCATCACGGTTGGCAGTAACTGCGGCCACGGAGTACCACTGTTGCACATTAAAGATGACTTGAAAGATCTGTGCCACCTCTCTATGAGTCCATTTGACTGGGGATGGTAGGCAGTTGTGTGTATGTGTTTGCTTCCAACCAGATTGGCGAGGTGTTTAAAAACTGCCGATTCAAATTGTGTTCCTTGGTCTGTCGTTATCGTTTTCGGTGAGCCAAATCTAGATATCCAGTGGGTCCAAAACGCCGTAGCAATTGTTTCTGCAGTAATGTTTGAAAGAGGTACAGCTTCTGGCCACCGAGTAAACCTGTCAATCATCGTCAGACAGTACCGATAGTTTTGTTGCAGTGGCATGACTACAATGTCAAGATGGACATGATCAAATCTTCCGTTGGGTACTTCAATCTTCTCCGGCGATAGATGGTTGTGCTTATGGATTTTTGAACGCTGGCATGGTAAACAAACTCTGCACCATTCGAGGACATCTTTGTTCATCGAGGGCCATACGAACTTCTGGCGCACCTGGCGGACTGTTGATCGACCACTGGGATGAGATAAACTGTGAATGGAAGAAAATACAGTATTTCGCAAAGATTTAGGTATATAAGGACGAACGCTTCCTGTCGATATATCGCAGTAGAGTGAGATGTTGTCATCAAATCGAATCTTTTGAAGTTTTAATGATGTAGCTCCGTGCAAAAGACGTACCAGCTCAGGATCTGATGCTTGATCCTCTTCGATTTGTGATAATTTTATGGCTGTCGGCATTGTTATGGAGCATAATCTCGAGAAGGCGTCTGCGACTGCATTCTCAGATCCTTTCACATGTAAAATCGTAGTGCTGAATTGGGAAATATAAGCCAAATGTCGAAGCTGTCTCGGCGATGCTTTCTCTGGTCGCTGTTGTAATGCGTATACGAGCGGCTTGTGATCGGTCTTGATTACAAAAATCCGTCCTTCAACAAGGTGTTTGAAATACCTAATGGATTCGAATATGGCGAGCAGTTCCCGGTCGTAAGTCGAGTAGTTTTTTTCTGTGGAGCTTAGCTTCTTAGAGAAAAATTCTAGGGGTCGCCAATTTCCGTCTGTGCGCTGTTCTAAAACTGCTCCGATTGCGAAATCGGAAGCATCGCAAACCAGCTGGAGTTCAGATTTTGGTGTGGGAAAAGACAAAAGCGCAGCGTCTGCTACACTTCGTTTGCAAGCTTCAAATGCTATATTGAGTTCTGGTGTCCACTCAATTTTGCGTTGATCATTCTTCTTAACATTTTTTAGCAACTCAGTGAGCGGTGCTTGTATGTGTGATGATCGAGCCAAACATCTGCGATAGTAATTTATGACGCCCAAGAAACGACCCAGCTGGCTTATATTTTCAGGGCGTGAATAATTTAAAATAGCATCTATGCGTTCGGTGGGTGGCTTAATTCCAAACTCGTTGATCGTATAGCTGAGGAAATTTACTTGCGGCTGTGCGAACTGGCATTTGCTCACGTTAATGCTTAAACCATGTTTCTGTAGAACTTCCAATACAGCTCGAAGATGTTCTTCGTGTTCAGCCAGGGATTGCGATGTTATAAGTATGTCGTCGATATAACAATAAACGAAGTCCATGCCGCGGAAGATGTTGTCCATGAAACGTTGAAATGTTTGAGTCGCGTTTTTTAATCCAAACGGCATGTACTGAAACTCGATCAGTCCAAACGGGGTGCACACCGCTGTTTTTTGGATATCGCTTTCTGCCATGGGAATTTGGTAATAGGCTTTGACCAAATCGAGTGTTGAGAAAATCTTCTTTCCTTGCAGTTGCTCCGTAAAGTCGTGTATATGGGCTATTGGATAGCGATCAGGGATTGTAATTAAATTCAATTTCCGATAATCTCCGCATGCCCGCCAGCCACCGTCTTTTTTGGTCACCATGTGTAGTGGGCTGGACCAAGGACTTTTTGACGGTCGGCATATGCCTTGTTCAATCAAGAAGTTTATTTCTTTTTTGGCAGTGGCAAGTTTGTCACCGGATAGGCGTCGTGGTCTATCAGCAACTGGTATACCATTTGTTTCTATATAATGACGAACGTCGTGTTGCGTGGATTTGTTGATAGAAGGTCTTGTCACGTTGACAAATTCGCTTAACAGCTTTTGAAAATTCGAAGCACGCTGCACTGTGGAAACTGATATGTGTTTCGCTTGTGCTAGACATGCGGGCGTTGAAAGACCAGTAAGCGAGTCAATTAATCTTTGATTTTTAAGATCGATGAGCAATTGAAAGTTGCTCAAGAAGTCTGCCCCAATAATAGCTGTGTGCACATCAGCGATAATGAATGGCCAGGTGTAGTTTCGGCGGAGACCCAAGTTCAGCTGTGTTACGTACTTTCCATAAGTATGAATGACGGTCTGGTTCGCAGCGTACAGTTCCAAATCGTTTAGAGTGGTTTTTTGTCTAACCAGCGTTCGTGGTATGACGGAAACTACAGATCCTGAGTCGATCAGGAAACGGATGTGAGATGAGCGATCGGTGATGTGTAGACGCTGTTCCTGTGGAGCAGCTCGTTGTATTGTGGGTTCGCTGGTTAAGTACTTGCTGCCGTCGACCAGCGTGTTGGACGACAGCTCCTCTAGTTTAACGACGAGGAGCGGGAGCATGGGGGACGGCATTTGTGGGCGTTTTCTCCAAATCGCTCGTGGTAGTAACATAGCTTCTCTTGGGACTCGGAGGACTGGTAATTAGCATTTCCCGTTTGTGGTCGGTTACGCGATGGGCTGCGGGAGCGACCTTGGAATTGGAGACGTTTGACATCCTTTTGTAAATCATCAAACTTTTGTGAAAGCGAACGCAGCTGCTCGTTGACTTTTTTCCAAGGATCTTCGGTAGAAGCAGCGCAAATGGATGAATCAGCAGCAGTCGAAGTGTTCGTGCTGATGGCGAAAGTAGCATTGTGGTTCACTGCTTCGAGCATTTTGTCTGCGATTTTGGCCAGCTTATCCAGATCGGTCTCTTCCCAGACGGTGAGGGTAGGGCGAATTGATGCCGGCATCTCTGCCAGGAAAAGTGTGAGGATAATGTTCTCGCTGCCCGGATCCGGAGCTAGTCGACGCATGTTGGCCAAGATTTCGGATGGTTTCAGACCAGATGTATCCCCACCTTGTAGCAGTCGGCGTAGTTTCGACTCTGGGGATTCAGAATACTTTTGTAATAAGCGATTCTTTATTGCTACATACTTGTTTTCGTCAGGTGGTCGAATGACTAAGTCTTCCACAGCCAAAACCACATCCGCCTCCAGGTGAAGAGTGACAAGGTCGAACTTGTCGGTGTCGTCCACGATGTGGTGTAATCGGAATGAGCGCTCCACTTGCGCAAACCATAGCTGAGGGTTGCTATGTGCGAATTTCGGCAAGTGAATTGTCGTACGTGTGCGTGTGTGAGTAGTCTCATCTCGGTTACCAGGGACACTTGTCCGAAGTGCCTCAAGTTGCTGTTGCAGATCTCGGATTTGTGCAGTTAAATCAGGATTGGAATCCGGCATGATGAAAGATGATGAATCGACTGGATGGCTTTCTTCGTCGAAATAAAGGCGTCTTCCTTTTATATTTCTTAGATCGTATTGGCGTCTTCTCATTAAATGCGCAATTTCTGATTGCGAAAGTGCATGTGTGTGTTGCGAATTTCAAGAAATAAAGTTAATTTCGCACGATGAGCAGGGTTTTAATGTTTTAACTTGTCGGGGTCACCACTATGGCGAAGTATATTTGCCATTAACGTTTATTGATAATAATGATACATTTAATTAAGGTAGTTAGTAAAGCTCGCGTCGCTGTATCGCTTCTTGAAACTCAACTGCTTTTTCTCTCGTCGTTATAAGATTTTCCGCCAGGTTGGCAGGCTCTAGTTGGCGCTGCAACCATATGAGGTTGCCACATATTTCCGGGTTCCCCCGCCAAGCAGTGCGATCGAGTAACACCCGTCTTTAACCGAGACTACAACCCCCTCATACAAATTCCTACTACAGGTTCCACCCTTCTATATAAATTTCTTGTATAGGTTCCCTGGCCCCGATTGAGATTTTACCCCGGCCAGAGAACAAACATTGCAAAAGGGACCCTAGAGCAACAATTGACAACAACAACAAAATGTATTTTACCTGTGTTTGTTGCAATTATTTAATATAAGGTCAACTGTTACATACAGAGCAGCAGCAGCAGATATACAGAATTACCAAAACAATGATAATCAGGCAGGCTCCGGTTTTCACTTTCACAAGATTCTCTCGTTTTCGTTTTCAAAAACGAAAATTGGTGCTCCCGTTTTCACTTTCACAAGATTTTTTCGTTTTCAAAAACGGGCAAGTTTTTTTTTTTGTCGAAATGAAAAGTAAATGCCTTTTTCTACATCAAAATGGTTCTTAATTGCAAAAGGAAAAAAATAGTTGACTCCTTGGTCTATTGATGTTGATTTCACATCATCAGTAGGTCAATCTAATTCGTATTTATTTTTTAAATAATTATTTTCTGACCCCACCTTGATTTCATACATAAAATATTTGCCGTCGGCAACAACAAATTTCGTTTTGCTAAGGGGTCGATAAATCTATTGCCAAAAGTTATCGTCAGTGCTGCCGTACTTGTAGTGGAACAAAACAACCACTTAAAAATAGGTACTTATAAAATTAAAACGAAACTAAAATATTTGTAAAGAAAAGTTAAATAAGCTTTTTATAAATAAATATGATTAATTTCGTTTCATAAATGGTAAAAGTGCAGTAAAAAAGTTGTTGAGAATTATGGAATGAAAGCTGCAAAAAAGGTGCCAGCCCGTTCTGGTAGCAACTTATATGAAATTTTGGAAATGTAAGTAAGACAACTTAATTTGTGTATTTAAAACTAAATGCAAAGCTATTGTATTTAGGGGGAAGCATAAGTCGTCGCTCCAGGACGAAATTATTCTGGATTTCATGAAAGACAAGCCAGATCTGGCCCGAGGCTTTGTCAAAGGAGATCGAGTGGCTGCAGAGGCGAAGTGGGCAGATCTTGCTGGCGCGTTGAACGCAATTGGGCCTCCCATTAAAGACGTTGCAGGATGGAAGAAGGTATGACTATTAATTTCTATATAAAAGAAAGCTAATATATCAAAGAAAAATATTCCAGGTTTGGTGCGACTGGAAGTCCAACATCCGAAAGAAGATAGCCAAAAACAAGGCTGAGGCCAGGGCCACTGGCGGCGGTCCTTACTCGCAGCAGATTGTAACGGACGTGGATGAGGAGGTGGCCAAGATCTGCGGCCTTTACGAAATGCTGGAGGGAGTGGCTGGACCAACATATGGGGTTTCGCCCACCGTGAACCCTGATTTATAAGGGGATGAGGAAGAAACCCCAAATCAGGACACCGTAGCCGAGGAGCCAAGCCGAAAGCGTCGACGCGCCCCTGAGCATGATCTCCAAAGCCTTTGCGCAGCACAGCTCGAAGTTCTGTCGCAGATAAGCAACTCCATGTCCGAGCACTTTAAGAGGATGGAGGCTCTTCAACGGGAGGACATGGAGTTGAAGAGAGAGCTCCTCTCAAAATTTAGTGAGATAATTAAAAAACTAGGAGAATAAACAGATTAAGTAAATGTTAAGATGTTTTATTTATATAAGCTTGCAGGTTTTTTTTAAAATTTTTTCGCGTTGTTTACTTTTGACCAAAAAACAAATTAGCCGTTTGAACAGTGAGAAACGATGAAAAAGTGAACCATTCCGATAACGAAACGATGACAAAAAGTTTGTGAAAATCGGAGCACCAAAAACGAAAACGTACGTTTTCGCCCAAAAACGAAAACGAAAAAAAAAAAGTGAAAACCGGAGCCTGCCTGAATGATAATCATCATAATGATCAATGTGATAAAGCTTACCTTAGGCCGAAAGCGTACGAGAAGAGAAAACAAAAGAAGATAGCGGAAGCACACGCGCTTAGATTTATTTTTAGTAGCGCTTATCTTAGTCTAAGACTGAAACTTATCAGTAAGAATGACTTATTGTAGATCATTTCTATTGAGTTTCGATATGGGTCGTAAGCGAAATTTTGTTCTTCGCAATTTTTTTTTAGTTTCCACGCGGGAAATAATGTTTCCGAGTGCAAAATTTGCAAATTAACGTTAGTTGGCGAGTACGTGTGCAACATGAAGCGGCATATGGGACATTCTTTTACAAACCGTACGGATTCGAGAAAAATTTTTTTTTCATATCTCAGAGTTGAATGAAAATTTTTTTATAGCTTCTATGGAAGATTTTATTCGACACGTGTAAAAGGATTTTACTCCAAAAAAATAGTTTTTTATTTATTTTTTCTATATATTAAATATATTATCTCCGCTTCCAGTAGTAACATAATAAAAAATTTTTTTTATTCAGTAGGTATTAATGTTGCCTTTCAAGTTTTTTTACTTACAATTTTTTTATTTGTTCAGAAAAAAATTATAAACAATTTAATGGTTTCAAAGCTGATCCCCACAACATATATAATTAGGAAAATTACAATTTAATTCTATACGTCATTCCTAAGAAAAAACACTTGGATTTAGAGTGGGGTCTCTATTAGGTAATAAGATATAAAATAACATTGATCGCGCTGCGGCAGCATGTGAAGCGCGCGCTGCGCGAAGAGTCGAAAATTATTTAATTTCTCTTGATCTGATGAAGACCCCACTCTAATTCCTTTTATTGGTTATTAAGCGAAACATAGGGATAATAAATTGATTTTTTTCAATTAAATAAGTTGTGGGGATCGGCATTGAAATGTCGATATAATGATTAATTTGTTACTAATAATTAAATAAAAAATTAAATTAAAAAATAAAATTACTTTTTGAAAGCTGAATTCTTGAACTAAATAATAAAAAAAATTGAAACGATACGATTAATAGAACAAGAGATAATTGATTTAACGTGTTCAAGGATAGAAACCATTGATATTGTCAAAAATCATAACTTTGTAAAAAAAATTTTTTAAGCAAAATACCGATACACGTGTCTTTTTATTTTGCTTCCTACACCTGGAAAAAAATTTTGACAAAAATCGGAATTGTGACGCAAAAAAAGGTGTACGATTTGTAAAAGAATGTCCCATATGCAAACTAAGCATAAATCGGACTATGAAGCTGAGAAAGCTAACATTCAGGAAGACGAAGCTGCCGAAAGAAAAATTAAATTTGCAATAACAATGGGCAAAAATGAAGTGAAGGATGCGTGCATCGATTTGGTGACGCTGGAAAAGCTTCCGTTGGCTATTTTCGATTCGGAGTGCTTCAAAACGCTAACGTCTCAAATATTTTCTGCACTGGATATGCCGGCTGTTTCGTCCAGAAACATAATGGGCATGGTGGAGAAAATATATAATGACATTAAAAACAGCATAATGGCCAGTCTCAAGGTCAAGATGCTTAGCTTAAAAATGGACACAGCCACCCTGTGTAATCGTGGGATCTTGTGCGTAAATGTGCAATATATTCACGACACTGGTATTTGCTCAAAAATAATTAAAAAAAAAATATAACTAAATAATTGAAAGTTTTGAAACGTGTTAAAGTAAAGAAAATTTAATGAAATGAAAATGGTGACCCGCCGTTAAAGGCAATATTTTAGTGATATTGAATCAGTCTGATTCAGTTCTGATTCTGAATCAGTCTGAAACTTAAAATTTAAATTAAATTTAATTTAATTTAAAATAAAATAAATTTAAAAAAGCCGATGCATCATTACTCTACACAGGTTAAATTGTGTAGAGTAATTATGCATCGACTTTGTTTCGAATTTTCCCTCAACTATAACTGCAAAGCGATAAATTAAATATATTTTTTTTTGTAAATTTAAATATAATTAGAAATATGCCAACTAATCAGAAAAATACTCACTATGAAATACTCACTATGAATATAAAATTTAAAATTGTGGGTAAGTAAAGATATCGCAGTCGGTTCTCAGTAAAGAAATGATGTATGCCTAAAAGGGTTCCAAGTAAAATATTTTATAGAATATTTTTGCCGCCCATGGCGAGTCCCCAATTTTCAACCTTTACAGCTACCTGCCCGGGAGATCAATCTTTCGCCGCTGGAACCAACGTATAAGTTGTGAGTTTATTTTGTTTCTTATTATTGAATTTATATCTATTCCATTTATATCTTATTACTAAATACCCCATGAAATGAATTAAATAATCTATATGAAAGCAACTGTGAATTTAAGCCGATAACCCCACTAAACTAGGAAGTTAAATAAAATATTAAAACAGAGTGAGAATGATTTAGTTAAGTCAAAATAAATTTAAAGCAATGAAATTTAAATATTATTTACAAACATAAATAACATTTTCTATTGATGAAGTACAATACCAGGTTACATTATTTTTTTTTTATTTATTATCTTTTTAAATATATGTACAGGGTGGGCCATTTAAAGTTGACCCACTTGATTCTTAAAACAAAAAAAGTGGACAATTTTTTTTTTATTCCAAAAATCATTTATTTTGGTCCAAGGAGATTTTTTACAAATTATTATTAAAAATGATATCACGTAAATGGGCACCTTTAGCTCTGACAGCCGAATGCATTCTTTTTTCAGCATTTTTCATGACATTGGTCAATGTTTCAGACGATATGGCGGCTATTTCACGTCTAATGTTGTCTTTTAGTTGACTTAAGGTTTTTGGTTTATTAGCGTATACCTTGGATTTCAAATAACCCCACAAATAAAAGTCTGGTGCCGTCAAATCTGGTGATGTTGGGGGGCCAGTCAAAATCACCACTTTTCGATATCAACCGCCCAGGGAACAATGTTCGCAATAAATCGATTGTTGCTCTAGCTGTATGGAAAGTTGCCCCGTCCTGTTGAAACCAGAAGTTATCCATGACATTTTCACGAATAATAGGCACCATCATTGTCTTCGAAAAAATACGGTCCGATGATCATATTCGCGCAAACACCGCACCAAACTGTAACTTTTTGGTCGTAAAGTGGCTGTTCTTCGATTAATTGAGGATTTTCGGTGGCATAAAAGACTTAATTGTGTTTTTAACTGGAGCACTTTTAACTTTATTCATTTTACGAAACGCACGCTGGGTTAACACAATTGAGAATTTATTTTCAATGTAGAGCTGAACAATTTGAGCGCGTTCCTTTGGAGTGTATTGCTCCATGGTATCAATTGTCTTCGACTGACGCTTCCAACGTGGTATGACATTTGACGATCTGTCGACGCTGTCAAAAGTTACAGGGTTGCCAAATGGGTCAAATTTAAATGGCCCACCCTGTATATGAACATCATATCTACTTTATTATTATAAAGATAACATCATTTAATTATTTAAGTACCTAGATCTTATTTTTTTACTGCCTGTATATCACTTATTATATTTACCTAAAAATTGTATTATCTACCGGTTAGAATAATAATTATGAGTATAGTTGATGTAGGAAGACCAAAACCATGTATTAAACTGTATTTAAAATGAACCTTGAGTAGTTCACTCTCTTAACTCTGCTGATGCTTCCACAATCGTAGGGTATTAGGGGTCACCGGAGCTAAGCTCTGAAGGATAGTGATCATAGGTTGGGTGGGCATTTCGCGACCACGACAACAACTGTGGCATCGCTGTTGTTTTCTGAATTTTATCTATTTCTCTTCTGGTTTTGATATCTCGCATTTACTCTCGTCAGCACACTCAATTCTGGTCTTAAAAATAATAATATGTAGCTAGTGTGCGGATTTGTTTAAGCAAGACCTCCACCCCCAAAGCAGACGAGCGAGAGCCGGACCCTATAGTGTGCACCCGCAAGGACAGATCGTAGAACTCACCACAGAAATCATTCGTTACACACTACATCAGCATTGCCCAATCTGTGGAGCAAGGCCAAAACAATTGCTCTACATTTAATACATAAACTAGAAAGCTTTTATGGCTAAGGCACACGCTCTTCAATATGGAATCAGTCCTTTACATGCTTGGATCCGCTTTTTCGATTTTGTTTTAAAAATGTCATATAGAATTGAGCTTAAGAAGTGGCATGTCAATGACAGCGATAAGCCTAAACTAAAAGAAAAGACTTTTACAATTAAAAATAATGAAAGAAATGGGCCTAAATGTGGTCAAGCCTCTTTCAAAAGGCAGTGCTGAGTTTTCCAATGCAGCTTTACTGTCATCAATTCTTGATTTTGATTATGATATTTTACAAAACTTTCATACAGTTCGAATAACAATTAACTGCGAGTACGAAATAACCTCGGAAAAGTTTAAAGACTTCTGTGCTAAAGTTTTTGTGGCATATCAGAAAAAACATCCAAAGTCGCCCCCTGTTCACAAAGTCTTATTACCTGGCTACCA